GGGGCCAGATTAGCGTGCAGCGGTGCTGTGTGGCTCATAGCTGCAGTGGTGGAGCGCTTTTGTCCCTGGTGGTAATCCGCTTGCTCTCAATGCCCCAAACCCTGGTTTACGGGTTTCAAAATAACGCTGGATTATCACCAAATGCAAATGTCGGTAGTACTCTGTTACTTGTTTTGTGTGGATTATGTCTGCATGTATTTGACATCATGTTTTGTTTTGTCATGTTTCCTGAGGTACACCTTGCCTGACTGTGAAATACTCCGGCATAATTGTACAATGTTTCTGAGTTATGACAAAGTACTTTGTCACATTTGGGGTTCAAACTGTTCTTGAGTGACCAATAGGAAGAGTAAGCCCATGGGCTGTGATGCAGGATTGCTGTTTTGTCCTTTGACATAAACTAAATGTGAATTGAACTTAACTAATTGCAAATGGATTTAAATAGATTAAATAGATTTAAATTGTTTTCAATAAATCATAAACAATTTGCAGTTTCCTGTAAGTGAAGTTTGCTGTGAAGAGGTTGGAGGGGTAAAATTGACAGACACTTTACCGATTAGCTAAAGGCATACGAGACAACTTTTTTTATTAAAGTAAGCTGTAAATCAGTGGAAATTAAATCAGTTGTATTTGTAAAAAATGTTGTATATTTTTTGCAGGGCAGGAAAATATGATTGGCTGTACTGAGTGTTCTCTGACAGTATGTGCAAATACAAGCAGCTTTGTTGAGTATGCACAGTGTATACTGACTAAAGCCAAAGTGATGTACCATTCTAAAGCTTATCTACACTGGTATCAACAGTGGGGATGTGATGAGGTATATGTTTACTTTTTCTAACTTGTGTTAGTGCTTGACTTATTCTGGGAGAATATGTTCCTGGCACCATGACATAATGCTTGGTTGTTGCGTAGCGAAGGCATTTTCTTGGGGGGGGTGCAACACCCCCCACACCCCCCCCTCGCTACGCCACTGGTTGTACTTGACTTTGTTCCACTCCCACAAAGTGTATAGAACTGTGTAATTTTGGTTTTCACAAACTGTAAGCAAGCACTGTGCACACGCATTCAGTGCATTTTCATAAAGTCAATTTTTCTGAATTTTCTGCGTTAAAAAGTTGCCATACGTGTAAATGAGTGGAGTAAATTTCTACGAAATCTTTAAAACATTTTTCTCCAAAATGTATATTCACTACTGCTTGTGTGTCCCTTTGTGAAAACCAAAATTATTCCACAACTTGTCAGTGTTTGCAGTGCGGGTGCACATCCAGGTGGAAGTTCGCCAAACCAAAATGATTAACTTTGTGATTTCAAGAAGTGATCATATTAGTACCTGTGTTTCAGTTTGTGACAACAATTAGATACCAGTGTATCACTATACAATATGCCACAAAGAGCTTGTCACAGTGAGGCTATATTTCAAGTTTATAGTCAACAAAAACGTGACTGACTTGCCCCAATTAGCATTTGAACTTATGTCAGTATACGCTTTTTGGAAATTTTTGATAGACTGGAAAAAAGAGAGTAGAGTGTGCAGAATATACACTAACGAATCTTCTACACAGACAAATAACATTGAGAACAATTCAAGTTCTCCATGTAAAGCTGGCAGAATTTGTTGACCATTTCCCGTAGTTCACTGTGAAGAGCTCTTTTGCAACCTCTTGCTTGGTGATATGTATTGCAAATCTCCCATATTATACTATGGAAAAATTCCTGAGAGATTCATACTGGTGTTTACTTTCCCAGGAAATTGTGTCAGATTTTACTGGTACTGTGATTAAAGGGTCGTCCATAATTTCCCCTACCCACAAGACTGTGATAGGGAAAAATACTCATTACACTGGATTCTTTGTGCATTTTGGTTAGATGATTCCATTATAATGTGAGTAATTAAGGAATTATTTAATTTTCTCTCTGAATTATTGTTATTTTTGTTTCCACTGTGCAGAGTAATTTTGTGGAATCATTTGACATCATGGAGAATGTTATTGAAGCCTACACTTCAGCAGCATCAAGGAGGTAGTTTAAAGATCTCCTCTACAACACTTACTGTTGGAATTTAAAGTCCATCATTACCTTGGAAAAATAGCAGGTATTTTGATGTACATGTATCATGATTACAGTTAATGAGTGATGATGATAATGAACAGTGCAAAACAATTGTAAAGCAGTATTTCCTTGAAGTGCCCAGGACCTACAACCCTGGACAAATCTCATTGGGCCTCCAACCTCCAGACCACCTATCAATGTTCTATGAACATAGAACATAGGGTCTATGTGCAAGGTCTGCGCTCTGGCGGGACATAACAACATTGATTGGGGGAGCCTAGGGGAGGGGGATGGAGAGGGTGCGGCTATTGGCAAGTGTCCCAAGAATTTCATCCAGGATTGTCTGAGTTTACACATGCCTGTTTATGTGTGAGTGGGGAGGGTCTGTTTACTTTGAGTGTGTGAACCATTTCCGGCAGTGACCGATACGAATTAACACTAACTTCATTAGAATGCATAATGACATCTTGATGAAAATGAATTCTCAACACGTCAGGAGTCAGCGTGTAGCTATGCAAAGTTTTTATCTGATGAATTCAATCTTAATTGTGGGGACCCACAAGGATCTTGCATGGGTCCATTACTCTTCACTCATACTCGTCCAAACTGTTTGATGTGGTTAATTGTCACCTCCCTAATGTTCACTGCTATGCAGATGATACCCAATTGTACATGTATTTATCGTTTAAACCTTGCAATTCTATTGATCAGGATCAGGCTTTGACTTCTATAGAGAATTGTATCCATGATGTAAGACCGTGGATGTTGCAAGATAGATTGATAATAAATAAATTTAGACTGAGTTTATTAATATTGGTACTCAGAAGAGTTAGCTAAACTCCATACTCTTGACCTTTCAGTTAGAAATGCTAAGATATTCACATCATCTTATGTATGTAATTTGAGATCATGATTTGATTCTCATTATCCATGGATCAGCACATTGCTAAAATATGTTCTCTGGCATTTCATCACATTCATAATATTAGGTGTGTAAGAAGATACTTGACTAGGAGTAGCTTGGCTGTCTCAGTTCATGCCTTTATAATCAGTCGTCTCGATTATGGCAACAGTTTGTTTCATGGTCTCTACCATTCACAATTAGCCAAAATACAAAGAGTGCAGAATGCAGCAGCCAGGCTTGTACATGGTGCATCATCACAAACTCATATTACCCCAATACTTTTTCAACTGCACTGGTTGCCAGTGGGATTTCATGTTCAGTTTAAATATTGTTGTTGACATTCAAGGCTCTTCATGGTATACCCGTACCAGTAGCCCCGAGATATCTCACTGACCTGACCTCAAAACCAATTCTCGATATTCACTGTGGTCACACAGTAACCTCCAAGTAGAATATCCTCAAGGTAGGATGTTGAAACACTAGGGATGACCGGATGAGGGCATTTTCTTATGCAGCACCATAATTATGGAACAAATTTCAATCTTTTAACATTTATAAACTAAACTTAAGACGCATCCTTTTAAGGCTGCTTTTTAATGAATTACCAGTAGCTTTGTATATTGTGAAGTTGTAATGAGGTTATTATGTTGTTGCTTAGTATTTTATTGTCTGTTTGGCATTTTTAACTTTTATCTTTTGTATTAATGTTCTGGGAACTTGAACACAGTATGTGGAATCTGCACCTTATAAATTTATCATTATTATTATTGTAAGCCTCATGGCCCACATGGGAGGGGGTCAACACACTTTGTATCAGACAGATGGATAAATCACACTTTAAAATGCTGAACTGCCAAACTTTAATTGAAACAAACTTGCACAGGGAAAATCCCTATCAAAATCTAGAACATCAACAAGGATGGCAAAAACTTACACATAGTCCTACGTATTTATTTTTGCCAATAATCTGACGTCAAGAAAAAAACAATGCTTTATCTTTCACAAATCCAATAATACCGGTATACAGGTAGCCTACAAAAAGCTTTAGGGTCCCTTATATTCAAGAATATGAGTTCTTGATTTCACTTGTACAGTCAAGTCCCAAATCTGTACTCATGGCGAGACTACTAGTAGCTAGTTCAGTTGACTTCATTTGAAGTTTTGATGACAATCACACAGGTTCAGTAGGCCCAGGACTATACCATAACTCCTGCTTGGAGACTTGAGGAAAGTCCAGTGACGGAGTTGCACATCATGCAAATAGAACAATTCCTGTCCTCATGAAGGGGACACATACAAGTTCACCCGATTGCCAATCACCAATGACTTGATCCACTCTGCATACAGAGTAGATCCAGCGGTCCAGCCAAACAGTTCTTGGTTTATGCCCTACTGATTGCTCTCCTGCAGAGTACAGTTCATGTTAGCCATGTTAACTCACAAAACAACAAGGTAATTCTGAGAGTAAGAGAAGAGCAAAATATGCAATTCAACAAAAGACTTGTGTCTTTGCATAAATAATTTGGTGTATCAAAGCAGACTTCATATTAAATAATCCACCATTAAATAATCCAACATGTTAAATTCTGGCGTCAGTACACTTATTCTACAGTTCTACAACTTATCATGACATTGCAACTTGATCATTTTGGATAGAAAGTAGCATTACTCAAAGGATTACTGGTCAATATATCCATTAACTTTCTTTTTTGGTGTATGCGTGTAATGCATTAAAAAGCCCGGGTTCCTGGTTTATAATACATGTACCTAAGGAATTACATGTATTATACACGCAAATTGCCATTTGCCCCAAAACATTAATTAAGCAGTAACCCTAACTCGCTCAAAAGTGTCATAATTATTTCATTTATCTTTTACACAGTCTCACCTGAGTGCCACAACTTAAGATTTTCAATCAATTGGGGTCTTGAATTGACTTTTAAAAGGAATCTTGCCTCTTGTCTGAGGAAATTTCGCCAAACATGCGCGAAAACATGTTGCTCTCCATGGTGATAAGTCTCCATAAGTCTGAACGCTCAGTTCCCCAACTTTACCACCAAAGCATCACAGATATAACAGATAATTGTATATGATTATGAGTGGTAACAATGTTGTTCTTGGACCCTAGCAGCTGGAGTAAGAGTGCACACCTAATATATAGTCAGTAACATTGAGAAAAGTGCCAAAAACTGGCTGTTAAAAACATGTACAAAACCTATGGAAAAAACCTGCATCTTTAATCTCATGTCATGTGACCCTTATGATGTCATTTTGACGATTTTATCCTGAGACCCTCTCTCCATGGTGGACTACGAGTGTACATAAATAGAATAAGTCAGATTGACCAGAGTGCTGAAGACTGGCTGTTGAAAAACGTGTACAAAACCTATGGGGGAAAAGTAAATATTGTGGCACTGCGCCCCTCCGACGAAGG